GACTGTTCACCTTCCTACCCTCTGGCCGGAGGTTCAGAAGTGTGAAATGCAGGACCACTAGACTGAAAAACTCTTTCTTTCCCTCTGCCATCAGACTCCTGAACAGCTGACTCAGGATCTACCTCATATAATACCATCTGTATGATTTACATACTCATTTTACACATGCACAATTGCACACTCACTGTTGAGTATTTACACTTCACAGCTCCCACGTAGCATATATTCTCTCTGCATCATATTGTGTTCTTGTTGTATTTTTATTTGCTTCCTTCACTTGCTGCTTTAAAGTGCCTTAGATTTGTGTTGCTGCCTATTCACTTGTATTGTGTGGCATTCATGTGGACGGCAAAGTAAGAATTTCATTGCACAGGGAAACACGTTTTCTAACTGTGCATATGACAAATAAACACTTTGACCTTTGACCTAATGCCAGGCACTTTTCAATACACAGGCTGCAATATTCTAAGATAAAACAATGTCTAATCTTTCTAAAACCAATTTGTGAGAGATACTGTTTGACCAAGTAGAAGCAGATTTACTTCATAGTTTTGCTTTAACTCCTCACATACAGGAGTTCTGGATGGCGATATTCATATTCACAGGTAAAACTGCTTTTGGTTGTTCTGTCAGAAACTGAGTGCACAGTATCATCTCCTGTTCTATGGTCTCTGTGTGAAGACGCATACTCATGTTCTTGCAAAAGAATGAAGCACCATGTTTTAAAGTCTGGAATGCAACAATCCCTGACATGCTCTGCTAGGACACAGCCTGAAATATACTTTGTAACAGAGCAGAGTAATGTGAAAGGATCTGGAGAGAGATGCTTTCCCATGTACTACATGAGCAGTATTCTTTAGAAATCCTAGATGGCACTTCTTGGGGATGGCAGGACAGTAAGGAAGGGAAATGAGGGTAGTGGGGTCCATAGTATTAATTTTAAAAAAAATTATGTATCATATTTTAGTATTGTCTTTTTTGTTTTCATATATTTGAAGCAAAGCTTTCTATTTTTGTATTCCACGCTGTTCTGTTTGCTGATAACCAGATAAGTGTTTGATCTACAGTACTGACACTTCAATTGGAACATGATAGTGAAGTGATATGTATCATGTGACCACAAAACACAGCTAGAAGATACACAGTACAGATACTGACATAGTTGTCCAGCTGGTTCTGTCGTTCTTGAGGCTCATCAAGTGGTGCGGCACAGAGGTCAGAGATGGAGACGCCGCTGCATGTTTTCAGTGTGAGCAGGAAGACCAAGCGCCCTCTGCCCTGGTCCAGGGTGTGTGTGAACAGCTGCCTCTGATCGAAAGGGATCCTGGACAAGTCCACCTCACACCTGTACAACCAAGCACACAGGCATAAACAGATACATGCAAGACACAGTGCATAGTCCTACACAGGCATAATGGATGTGCACACAACCACGCACACAAAATATTATTGTACATTGCACCCAGCTTTCAGGTGGCATGTATATCACATGGTTGACATTTCTGTTCTTCACTTACAGTAGATACTAACATGAATCCTTCACCAGATTGGACAAAAGCATCACTCAGTGGACACACAGAAAAATCATAGCCCCGCTCCAGAAAAACTGCCAATCTAACATCAACTTGTAAAGAGGTGAACAAAAGGCCAAGCATTTGCAAAATCATGCTTCATTTTATGTCAATAACACAAAGAGCTCTGGCATTTCACAGTACGGTGAGTCACATCAATAGTTTTCAGATTGGTCTGGAACACAGCACTGCATAACTCAATGTTTTCAGTGGATTCTTTTCTGGAATGGATGAGAATCTTGTATAAACTGAGCCTGCAATATGTACTCTGGTTTTACAATACAGGGCAAGTACATATTGTACACACACACACACACACGGTACAAACACACAGGGCTGAGTAGAGACTTACGTTCCCAAACACTCCTCAGTCCGTCGCCCTTCCTTGGACCAGAGCTCCACCTCCAGGATTTCTGGACTGTCCAAGAACTGATTAAAGGTGAACCTCTCTCTCCACTGAGGGTTGGCCACTTTGCAATGGTTCTAAATCAGAAAGAACAATAAACAGTAAATAATATCATCACCATCATGCACACTGCACAATGACACAAACCAGGCAAATTCAGATAGCCGAGTCAGAAAACATTTTCCTGTTGTCATAATGGTAATGAACTTATAAATAATATAATTACCAATGTTATTGACAGCAAAATGACAAGTGGATTACTTATAAATGATATTAGTGATCATCTACCAGTATTTGTGGTTTATGAGGGCCAGTATAGAAAAGA